TTGCTGGTTTGACGTTTTCACAATGCAAGAACAATACGATCTGGAATCTACTCAAAGCATTAGCCAGGCAGTCAGCTGATGCTCATTGCACACAAGAGAAAGCCAGAAATAAGAGAAACCGAACCTTGAATTTATGTAAAACAGGTATCCACTACCTTGAAAACTAAAATAGGCCAACAACAGACGTTCCGGTTAAAGTAATAAAAGTGCTGCAGTCCATGGGGTCGCAAAAAGTCGGACAGGACTTTGCGAATGAACAACAAATTGTTAAATAACAATACAAAAAAAAAAAAAAAAAAGCTTTGCCCGAACTAGGTTTCGCTCGTTCTTGGAATTTTCCCTGTAAAAGGCTCTTATCCGTTCATAAAACCGGTCCCTCATCACGGAGTCGCTGCCTGAGTAACTTTTACAAAAGGTCAAAGCGGTGCCTTTCAAGGCTTCCAAATCCTACAGGCTTTCTCCTTCGTTCACAGTAACTCGCTTTCCACCCACAGAACGTTCCAGAGACGAAGGATGGGGACCAAACAAAATCTGGTGGGCCTGTTAGAAAGAGGCTTTCAACTTTCTTTTCCAACACTCAGACGGAATTTCACCTTCCTCCCTCGGTGGCCCCACATGTTGCTCGCCTGCTCCCAGAGGGCCGCGCGAGGCCTCGCTTCACCCGGAACGCGCCCACCTGATTACCCTTCTCTCCCCAGACTAAGCCGCGGGCCTGCACGGCCCAGGTGCTGTGTCAGCCTGTCTGCCGGCTCCGCGCCGTGTACGGCCTGGAAAGTCACATGGCGCTGGGACTGGCCGGCGCCTCCACACTCCAGCTCTCCTCAGAGCACGATGAGGTTCCCAAGTCCACTCACCTCCACGAAGAGCAACATGTCTTCCTCCGCTCGGCCCAATCGTTCTCGCCAACGCGACTCCAACTGGCTTACAGGCCCGAGCCCCAATCGCTAGGATAAGGACACTCGCCTGGCCCTTCCACCCGGCAGCGGACCCGGCTCCTCCCCCGCCGTCAGCCGCTGCGCCCTGACCCGCCCCGTCCCACCTCCCTTGAAACAGCAACTGTTTCCGGCTCTAGAGAACAATTGCTTCCGGGAGAAGAGAAAATCCTCGGCGCGCTCAACTTTTGCACTACCTTTTCCAGCCGCAGTTTGGACTGTACTATCATCTGACTTGGGGGTGGGGGGGATTGAATCTATCAGAGGAAGGCACCATTCTGTGCCACGGGGGTGTGGAAAAATTTTACGGGCGCATTTTATCCCTGGCCCATCGGAGAGTTACCATGGTCATAGTAACTCCGCAGTTTCTCATGACCCAAGACCTCGATCTGATAAAAGGCCGAGACTGTGCAAAGTGTACTGAAAAACGGCCAGCCCTACCGAAAAGGCGGTGACTCGCAGAAAAAAAAGAGAGAAAGGAAAAAAAAGCAGCAGTAATGGTAAACATATTAACAGCAACCCGTTCACATTAAAGGCCTGGCACTATTCTAACTATTATATGTGAATTAGTCTAAACAATTCAACGCAATAATACTGTTATCCCCATTTTACTGTTGAAGGAGCCCTCTAGGGCTTCCCTTGCGGCTCAGTTGGTAAAGAATCTGTCTGCAGTGCAGAGACCTGGGTTCAGTCCCGGGGTTGGGAAGATCAATTGGAGAAGGAAATGGCAACCCACTCCAGTATCCTTGTCTGGAAAATCTCATGGACAGAGGAGCCTGGTGGGCTACAGTCCATGCGGTCGCAAGAAGTCGGGCACGACTGAGCAGCTATCACTTATTGGGAGGGCGGGTTTCCCTAAGACACACATTCGAAGAACTTTGCCCCACGTTCTCTTGAATCAGGTACCCACATCTTTGCTCAGTATGCTATTTGGTAATATCAATACTTTGTCTGGATAGCCTCTTCATTGATGTCCTGCCATCAATTCAAATGAAATACAATAAAACATTTTTAAAATTAATCTTTATAATTATCTATTAGATGATCCAAATTTTTTATCATCTTTAGCCACACTTACTAGGATTTATCCCTCCCTTAACAGTCCCACTTCTATATCTTAACTCAAACATTTGTCGTTTGAAATAATCTTGTCTTGATTTTCAATATATTTTTTCTATTACATTATTTTAAAAAATCTTCCTAAATTGAAGGCTTTATTTTCACCAACTATTATATCCAATGTAATCTCACTTGTGTGTATGCTCGCTAAATCGCATCAGTTGTGTTGGCCTCTGTGTGACCCTATGGACCGTATCCCGCCAGGTTCCTCTGTCCATTGGATTTCCCAAGCAAGAATACTGGAGTGGGTTGCCATTTCTTTCTCCAGGGGATCTTCCCAACACAAAGATTGAATCCTGATCTCTTGCATTGCTGGCAGATTCTTTACAGTCTGAGCCACCAGGGAAGTCAAATTCAAGATTACTACACTTCAATTAAACCAGTTACTTTTCCCCTGAAATACAAACTCAGCACTCACCTCCAAAGCCATGGCTCAAGGCGTCTCCCCTGTCTGGAATACCTTCATGTGTCAATCAACCTTCTCTCTCCATAAGGTTTTCCCAAAGACTCCGTTCCTCACAGATCTCTTCTTCATGTCCCTTGTTTAGCACTTGAATATTATATTCTAACTTAAATTATTTTTTCTTTTTTTTGTTGTTTTTCAGTTTATTCACAGGTACCCTATCATATATTCTTCACAGTCTAGGATAATGGTAGCCACATAGTAGTATCTCAACACATGCTCGTCTACTTGAAGAGATTTTTTTAAAATTTGTTTTAAAAAGCCTTCATTGCCAGTTGCTGATGAATTCCATGCTGCATAAAAAATATGAGGGAGAGAGAAAGCACAATAATACTAAATTAGTTTAGGTAACCAGCAAGTAGGGTGCTTTGTGAATGCCTACTAGGGTAAGCAATGTAAAGGAATCAAGAGGAATTAAGTTATTAAAGGACCTCATAATCTAATAGTATTATCAACAAAGCAATTTAATAGATTAATTGATAATGTCAAGGAATATTGGGTAATGATCGACATTTTAGTGAAACCTCACATTTCTAAAAACAAATAATTCTCCTTAATCCTGGCCCTTTCAGAAAAAATTATGAACTCCCTTGAATAAATAGACTTAATTGTGATTTATAGGAAAGGAGGGAGTGATATTTTATGGGGAGGGGGAGGAGGGTATAATCTTAACAATAAAAGAAAGTGTTCTGGACTTAGAGGAGTTTCCACAAGGAAAGGAGTTTTAATACTTATTTATCTACTTACTTACTTATTTGGTTGCACTTGGTCTTAGTGGAGGCATGCGAACTCTTAGTAGCAGTATGTGGGATCTAGTTCCCCTGACCAGGGATCTAACCCGAGCCCCCTGCATTGGGAGCACGGAGTTTCAGCCAATGGACCACCAGGGAAGGAGTTTTAAACTGTAATAAATATCCAAATATTTTAGACAGTTTCCATGGAAGTACTGAAAAAGAGTATGCCAAACATTAGATAAACCTAAAGTACAGGCACTTCCCTGGTGGTCCAGTGGTTAGGAATCCGCCTTCCAATGCGGGGGACACAGGTTCCATCCCTGATTGGAAATAAGATCCCACATGGCACAGGGCAACTAAGCCTGTGGGCTGCAACTATTGAAGCCTGTGTGCACTAGAGCCAGTGCTCTGCAATAAGAGAAGTATGCATGCTACATAGAAGAGCTAGCACAGCCAAAAAAGGAAAAAAAGAAACCTAAAGTACAGCATCTGGTTTTGAGAAGTTCAACAACTAGTGGATAGAAACAAATAATAAATAGTTACATTTCAATAAGTACTATAATACGAAGTTTACAAGGTGATTTGGGACCAGAGGGGAGGGATAACTTAGACAATGGGGTCTTAAAGAGAAGGGAAAATATTTATATATTGCTTGATACTTTTTAAAGACAATTACATTATGATCCCCTGTATCCCTTTCTCCAAAGGACTGAAACAAATTGTTTAAATTTACAAGTTTTTCAACAAGAACTTATAAAGTACTCATAGTTCTCATAGAGTAATTGGTATACATCTACAATTTGTATAAAATCTAAAACCTACAAAATGATATTACATAGTTTATGAACACAAACACCTGCAGTAAAACTATATAAACATAGACTAGACATAAATATATCAGATTTATGCTTGTTATGGCCCTAAATACATCAGATTTATGCTTGCTCTTGCCCTCTGAAAATGGACAAAGGGGAAGGAAGGAATCTGGGGAGAATAACAAACGGTATCTCTAATGCTTTATTAAAAAATATCTGAAGCAAATATGACAAAATGTTAATATCTCTTCATTCTAGCTGATAGTCACATGGCTATTTTTAATATTACTTTCTGTACTTTTTTGCACTTTTTTAAATGAAAAAATAATCTATACAGCCAACAAAACCATCTGTCCTTTAATTTCTCTGGTGTCCAAAATATTTTCAACTCCTCTACAAAGGAGCTGCCCAAAGTGATTTTTTTCAGTTAGAAAGCAGCCTCTAAGCATACCCTTCAATTTCTCAGCCAACTATGGAACTTCAAAGCCTTCTTCAGTCAGGCTCCTTGAATAAATGAGCCACTAGGCAGTGCAAAGAGTGTGATCTTCATCCAAGTACTATCTTCCAAGTTACTACAAGTCTAGGAAAAGTTGAGGGGCAGCTGAGGAAGTTGTAATGCAATTATTCCATTACAAGCTTAAACATTCTTAAGCAAAACCTCAGGAATAGAGAAGAATCAGGAGTTAAGATTGATATACTGGATCTTGAATTCTAACACCTAGATTTTAAGCTCTTTTAAGCAAGGCTATATCGTCTATTTCTTGTATAGTTCCTGTTGTCTATTCTTTCCTACCCACCCTCCCCCCTTCACCCACTACCATCACAGCATATAGAATGCCTAATTCTCTGCATACAGTAAGCACTCTTTAAGTATTTGAGTCAATGATAATGTCACAATGGGTCTGTTATGACATCACCAGGATTGGAACACTATGGGTAGGATCAGGGTACTCCACAATCTCTGGGAGCAAGAAAAGCCTCTTCTAGCTTCCTTGTGGATGGCTTCAAATTGTTTGCCTATATTTTGTAAAAAATGAAGAAATAAAAGAAAATCACTCAACTATCCAAAACGTTTATCAAAATGTCAACTGAGACAAATGATGAATATGAAGCAGAAAAAGAAACTTTGGAATTCACCAAAATGTACAAAACTGTTCTACAAAGATCAGAGGTTCCTAAGCTTGAGATTCCATTTGCAGTTCAGGATGTCATCAGTAGGATTGAGCAAGCACAGGTCCAGCGAGCCAGAGAGGTAGGTAGTAAATGACAAGTTTATAGATGGCAACTTTCTTTTTAAACTTACCATGAGCATATACTTTTCTTTTTTTCGAAGACTCACTTTGTTTTCATGATATTTGACTGAAGTAACTCGGATTCTGGATCAGTTAGCATAGTTCAGTCGCTCAGTCGTGTCTGACTCTCTGCGACCCCAGGAACCACAGCATACCAGGCCTCCCTGTCCATCATCAACTCCCGGAATTTACCCAAACTCATTTCCATTGAGTCAGTGATGCCATCCAACCATCTCATCCTCTGTCGTCCCCTTCTCCTCCTGCCTTCAATCTTCCCCAGTATCAGAGTCTTTTCCAATAAGTCAGTTCTTGGCATCAGGTGGACAAAGTATTGGAGTTTCAGCTTCAGCATCAGTCCTTCCAATGAACACCCAGGACTGATTTCCTTTAGGATGGACTGGTTGGATCTCCTTGCAGTCCAAGGGACTCTCAAGTGTCTTCTCCAACACCACAGTTCAAAAGCATCAATTCTT